TAAAGGGCGCCAGCCGCATTGACATTAGTAGTCGTAGTAGTCGTAGTAGTAGTCGTAGTAGTAGTAGTAGTAGTAGTAGTAGTAAGAATAGTAATGATACTAGTACAATTGAAGTATACGGGATAATAATAATAATCACAGGAATGACAAACAAAAGCAATAAGAAATCAGAAAAAAAAAGTAACAACTACACCACACGCAATATTAAACAGTAGCAGACAATCGTAAACATAATTTCAATAAGTATCATCAATAGTTGTAATAGTCCAAGTAAACAGTAATGGTAATAGGAATAGTAAATAGTAAATAGTAAATAGTAAATAGCAACCGTAATAGGACTAGCAATCGTCATGACAACAGTAACAGTGACAGCAACAATGAACGTAAGAGTGATAGTGATAAGGGTAGTGGTCATAAAAACACACAATACTCGGACTAATCGAAATACTTATAATAGCAGTAAAAATAGTAATAGCAATAGCAATAGGATTAGTAATAGTAATACTAACAAAATGACAATAGTACCAATGATACTAATCAGAACAATAGAGCCTTGCCCGCTGCATCTCCTGCCATGGCTCCAGGTAGCATTGCTCCCCCGATGCTGCCGCGAAGTTCGCCAGCGCCAGCGCTACCCAGGCGTTGTTCCCTGCAGGCTTTCAGCGGCTGAGCACTGCAAGTGTCAGGGTCCTCTAAGGATTCCTTTAAGGATTCCTTTAAGGGCTCCTGTAAGGGCTTCCTTTAAAGGGGTTCCTTTAAGGCTTTCCTGTAAAGGGGTTCCTTTTAGGGCTCCACAGGGGTGGTTCGGTTATAAGGGTGAGACAAACTTCCGAGCCCAGCGTCGAAACCTCGGGAGCTGCCTTCAATCAGGGATCCGTTGGCTTCAGTGTCCTTGCTTATTTGGGATTTTCTATAGTCCTAAACCCTAAACCCTAAATTTTACTAACATCATATGATGGCTTTGCGCTTTGAGCTTCCCAGTGGCTCAAGTCTCAAGACCAAAAGTCTAACGCCTCCTGCCTACACTGGGCATGCTGATATAAGCAGGCTAACCCAAGTTCAGCACAGCCCTAGACCCTAGTTGTTGAAAACACCCTAAACTGCTGAGAACTTGAAGCGACAGCCCCCAGCTGGATGAAGGTGGTGAACGTCAGAAGGGCGCTCAATCCTCCTCTTCGTCCTTGTCATCCTCAAGCAGCTTTTGGTTTCGGGTTTAGGGAAGGTTTAAGCTTTAGGGTCTCTCAAGCACAGCAAGCAGTGCCAGGAGCTTCAGAGCAGGGGTGCCGAACGCGCCAAAAGACAGAGGGTTTAGGGAAGTTTAGGGTTTAGGGATGCGGCGGGCAGAAGACCCTGAAATGCCAATGCAGCAAAATGGCTAGCTAGTTACTCAAGCTCCTATACTCGACCAGCAAGAAAAACTTACGTCGCAGGTTTTGGACCCTGGAGAGAATTGCAAGAAGCTCAGGAGGCCGAGGGCTTTGCCCGCTGCTTTGTGGGTAGTTTTTCTAAATTAGGGTC